TGAATATGTGTGGCGATGTGGGTGGATTTGAATGGTGGTGGTGAGTCACATTCGGGACATCGTAGGCATGATGCGAGGATCCAGAAGTAAAATCCACCCGGGGCGGCTGGAGCGTAACGGCGAGAAGGGTTGGGGGGATCCCGGACGATAGTCTTTTTCAATGTAGTCGTTTTTTCTCGGGACTTGGATCTTGAGAGGTCGGGAGGCTTCGCGGGACGGGGATATTCGTTGTTGGAGGAGAGCCGTGCTGAACCGTTTTACGGGTTAACGCGCGTGAGATGAGATGATCGATGTCGTATGCCGTATTTCCCACATGGTTTCGGTCCCCGTTCGTCTGATCTTATTGGAGTGCCTGCGCCTTCAAAGAGGGAACGGCATCTGTGGGAAGGCGTATGGTGACTACGTTCAGGGGAGCCCATAGCTCGAATGGCGAGCCAGCATCAGGTTCTGGCATTTGTTATGAGCTGCAGGCTCTTGTCCTTTTCGCTTTAGAGATAACTTTGCTGTTCGACGGGACGCTCTTCACGTTGTCCCACGTTTTATCAGGGTGCCTGGCTAAGGCACATTACCATGCACGGGTCTACCGTCGACATGGACCAGCGTCGCCTGTGATTACTTTGGAAGGAAACTGACCAGGTTCTAAACTGTCGCTCGTGGTGGTAGGTACTTGCTTGCATTCATATCCGTGGAATAGAAAACGGCCTGTGATTAAGGGGCAATAAACCCATGGATCGTGTGAAGCTGGAGAGTTAAGGAGGTTTCAGAGTATTTGAGGAGGGTTTAGATGGGAGGGTTGCTTGTGCCGCCTTTCTTCGATTGGGGTATGAACCTGACCGAGTCCTGGCGCCGATTGTTTCCGTGTCCTCGGGCGGAGAAGAAGAGCATATCAATGCTTGGATAAGACGGTAGGACGGAGGATGTGTGGGTCAACGTCATGCCCTTCTTCTTGACGTCGAGACCGGGTTGGACCACTTGAGCATTACTCCTACGTTGATAATTGGTGAAATTCAGTTCAGACAAGTTGATAATATCAAGTTGATTATATATGGCGAAGCAATCTGTCTGGATGATTCTCGACTTGGGAAGATGTGCCATTGGCCTCGTCGAGTTTGGCCTCCTATTTGTTGAGGTTCTCTCGAGTAGGCGGGATGGCACTCGGAGAAAGTGCTATGCCGTCGTTCCCGTTTGCCGTTGAGATCTTCACGTTACCAGAGAGAAACCTTTCAGACTCAACGCTCATACTCAGAATTGTCGGAGACGTTTGATTGTAAAAGGTCAAGGACCAGGAGACGCTGTTGATGTCCGCGGCAGACCCCGAAGGAAGACACCTTAATATCTGCGAGTAGGCAATGGTGTGCCGCTCTTGATTGCTAAATACTATCACGTAGCATTGACATTGCGCAAAGAAATGCAGAGTACAGGAAGGTGACTCGATAGATTGCCTTCGCTGAAGCGCGACGACGTCTTTCTTTGCGTATCTAGATATCGGGACGGAACAGATACTACGTAGTAGCCAGATCATACCTAAAGAGACGTAAACTAGTCCTGATCGTCGTCTTAGAAGAATATGACACCAAGAAAGCTGCTTGGTGCAAAGGTGTGTCTTGGGAATGGCTTTTCCTTGAGGGTATTCGATGCTAGATATGGGGAGGCGAATGTCCGTGGAGGCATGAAAGCAGACTTCAGCAGATGATTAACTCCAGAGTGCTTGTTCCAGCGCAACTTCCTAAAACATACTTGAAGGGTACATGACCAAACCGCCGCTCCTATCTCCTGGCAATAGCCAGATGTCTGGTTCTGCCCATGCCCCTGGCCGCCAGATATGCGCCCAGATTTGGTGATGATTGCCCATGGCTGCATGTTTTGGTTAGATCATGAGTGATCTGCCGGCTTCTCTTGTGAGTTCGGATACGCGTGTCTGGAGAGAGTCTTTTGAGACAAACAAATGACGGCAGCCGCGTACCTACAAAGGTTCCATGGGGCATACCTTCGTACTAAGTGACAAATGCCACAGAAAGTAGCCATAGAGGCTTCTACGAGGCTAGCATCCAAGATGATCAACATAGTTAGCCGACATGATCATGTCAGCGTGATTGTAATGTACGGGTAGGCCTGAAGAAGTGCAATACTATCCCCAGTATCATTGCACCGAACAATCTGCAAGGCTATGTTGTAGCACTTTGACCGGAAGCTCTGCGAGTGTTGCAACGACCGATTTGATGCTTCTTTGAGAATGCCCAATCCAGATTCTGGAGAATCAAGATGACCCGAGGTCAACGTTTTGCTATGACCATACAAAGACAAATGAGAAAAATATTTACACGGAAGAGGCTCACTTGTGGAGATTTGATTAGAACTTATTAACTTCAAGCACACTACACCTCATGGACTCAGATCTAAAGCTTAATGCTGGGTAGTTCATGTACAAATGACGGTCCGTCGTTTCGCATCGAATAGAGACAAGGTTCAGGGCGAACTAGAACGGGTCTTAAGAGAGAAACTATCCAAGAGGCATGGAAGCAAACGAAGGTACATGTAAAAGGTGGGAGGTCATGAGAATTCAGGTGGTCAAGCTTTTGGGTATCAGACCACGCAAATTATTCGCAAGACGAGCTATAGCAAATTGGAAGCCGACCCATACACCAAGCGAGGGGACCTAGATTCGTGAGAGATAAGAAGCCAGAATGTCTATACCCCTTTGCCACTTCACCAACATCTCATGTCCCTTCTAAGACGCTGGGATTCCCTGAGTGACCTACTCCTACGGTAATTTACGAGTTGATAACTGATCTCGGAGTATCTGCCCAGAATAGTACCCCAAGTCGGTCATTCGCCCATTCTCGGACCAGATAACATTACCCTTCTCACAATTAAACTCAAAGGGCTTGGGTGTCTTGAAAATCTATGATTCGGCATCATTGACTACACGTCTAGGACATGGCCTCGACTGGGTGTCGAGATCAAGGGACCACACTCAAGCCTGGAAGGGTTTTTCAGCCTGCCTCAAGTTTTCAGGCTTATGTAGAGAGAAGGAACCGTAGTCAGGGTTGCTCTGACAGAGTTTTGTGAAGTAAATAAGACGAAGAAGAATGGATACAATGGCATTCTCGAGGAGCATGGAGACATGTAGCCACCTATCATCTCATTGCTTCGAACTCCTAGCCAGTAAACACCCAAGATACATCTGCTGGAAATAGCTTGCCCCTCGTCTTATTGTCTACTTGATTTATTATACGAATAAACGAAACCAAGAGCATCTCCCCGGTCCTGCGCTCAACAATCAGCTTGCCAACCTCGACGTGGTGAATGCTGACATTCTTGAAGGAGCGGGATCCCAGAGCACCAAATGATCAGATCACGCCACCTGGGCGGAACTACAAACCCCACGTTCCGAAGACGACCCGAAAATCTTGTTGAATCAGTCAATAGATTTGGGATTCGGATTGTTTTTTCGAAATTTCAAATATTGCTGCTTAGAGACCAAAGATACTAACTCCAGGTACTGGCGCCTTTAGGAGGCCTTCACCGGAAAGCAATACCGAATACACCGACCGGCGCTCCCCAGAGGCAAAAACTCTTCAAAGCCGGCCTCAGGAAAGAGTGAGACTAGTAGATCGCTCTCCCGGACTTATCACGTAATGGATGTCTACTAGAGGGAAGTATCACGTTCGCTTGGAGCAGGACCCGCTGGCAGCCCATTCCTTATGAGTCCGTAATCTTCCGGCGAATTTTCTGCCGCCAACTCGCGACTCACATGCCTGCCTTCTTTGAAGAGTTATCTCAGAGGAACAATCACTCTACGGCCGTTGCTGCGCGTGGTCCTAGGACTCCATCTTCCAAGAAGCTTTGGCTTGCCATGCAAGAACTGGGGGCCAAAAGCTCGTAGGGCTGGGAAGCCAAGAGTTCATCAAGATGTGACCGGGGCATGTTGGCGCTGCTTGGGAGAATCTCGTGCGAGTCAGAAATCAGATATCAATTATTTCCTCCCGGAAACCTTTCTCCGGGGCCGACTTTGTTTCCCAGTCCCAAGTCGTGAGGCCGAGACCGGGTCGTCAGACGCATCCAGGTGCGAGGGCAGCTGCTAAATCACTGAGAAGAAGAGATGTTATTGGGAGACGTCCGGTGAGCTAACCTCGGAAAAGACCCAGCAGTCAGGCTCCCTCTAGACTCTAGAGGCAGCTCGCCAAGCAACCGCGCAACCCAAAGATGAGACTTTAGAAAAAATTCTGTTGCCTCCTGCTCGGATACCCTCTTACCAATAGCTCCCCGCGCCAGACCCCTTCCGCGATAGCGCCCCGGCCCGCAAAGCCAAGTCCGGCCAAGTCTGCAGTCTGGCCCATCTAATCTAATCAATCAGATAACACCATCCCGAGTATCCTTCACCCACCCATCCCACTGAAATGGTGTCGGGAACCCGGCACTACGGGTCTGCTCTCGCCAAGCCCGCAGCTGCTTTGTGCTTTTCGCAGGATCCTTCGCAAAAAGTCCCCTCCAGGGCTCTTCCGTCCCGTCTTGTCTTCCCACCCCAACGCCATCCATCCTGTGATCTATCTGGCCCCTCATCCGCCGCCATCATGGGTCGCCTCCTGACCTCTCGGTTTCTGGGCGCAAGAAAGCACACTAAGCGGCCCCGACTTCGGTCTCCTGCGCGCTGGTGGTGGTGTGTGCCCGTTATTCCACTCTGATCTCTGCAAGTATGGACGAGTAGCCGCATCTTATCAGATCACAGCCTGCTGTTGAAAGGGGGACGTGGTGTGCGTGGGTCAAAGGTGAATCCTTCCGGCCGCTAACTTCGTGATGGGATGGTGTAGAACTTAGCGAGGTCGCAAAAAGTGGCACGCTAGAAAGGCGGCACGTATTTGCGCCCTCCTCTGGAAGGGTCTTTAACTACAAGGCGAACCCCCCAAACCACCGGCCGCTTTTCTCTTCTTACTCTGGATTTGGTCATTAATCTCTTCCTGCCGCTTTCCGCTTTGTTTGTCTTTGGTGTAAAGCGCATAATGGCAGTGATTTCGCATCTTCGTGAGGCCCTCGGCCGCAAGCCGGCCCCGGTCGACGACTCACCCATGACCATCACCACGGCGCCGGAAACCGCCAACAACATCGATGATAAGGAACTGGGTGAGATCCCGCCTGACGACGAGAAGCCGGGCGAGGAGCAGAGGGTCAGCCAGGAGGTTCAGCATGGTGTCAAGTTGGCGCAGGCTTTGACCTTGACGTGGGGCAAGAAATCGCTGATTGCCATCTTCATCTTGTAAGGACTCTTTCCCTCGAACCTCTCGCATACCCTGGCGAGACTCGCATCATGAGGAATGGCATGACTGATATTAGGGTCATTTAATCCCCTGTGCAGCATGTGGTTTCTGTACCTCACCAACGGATTCCAGAGTTCCGTGCTGTCTAGCTTGACGCCGTATGCCGCCAGCGACTTTGAGTCGCACTCGCTCCTCCCCGTCATCGACATTGTGTCCAGCGCCATGACGGCTTCGGTGTACATCCCGCTGGCCAAGATTCTGGATCTTTGGGGCCGAGCGGAGGGGTTCTTGCTCATGGTGCTCTTCGCGACGCTGGGTATGATTATGTTGGCCGCCAGCCAGAACCTCGCCACGTACTGTGCCGCTACCGTAAGTTTCCAAACTTCTTCCCGCACTTTGATCGCCAAATTGGCGCAAAGAAAAGAGAAAACAACCAAAATACTCATGCAGGAAATCTTTAGGTCTTTTGGCAAGTCGGCTGGTCCGGTCTCACGTATAGCATCGACGTGATCACGGCGGACTCGACCCACGTCAAGAACCGAGGGCTGGCGTTCGCCTTCACCTCTTCGCCTTACATCATCACGGCGTTTGCCGGTCCCAAGGCCGCTGAGGGCTTCCTGAACAACGTCAACTGGCGTTGGGGCTTTGGCTGCTTCTCCATTGTCTTGCCCGTCGTCGCTGTGCCCATGTACAGCATCCTGAAGTGGAACATTCACAAGGCCAAGAAGCGCGGCACGCTGGTGCGCGAGCCTAGTGGCCGTAGCTTTGTGCAGAATGTTTGGTGGGGTCTGATCGAGTTTGATGGTATGTTTTTTCTTCCCCTGTGAACGAGGGCTTCTTCTCTGCCATTGCTCAAGCCCCGAGAACATTGCTGATTAGCTTCACTCAGTCCTGGGAATTGTCCTCTTCGCCTGCGGTCTCGTCACCTTCCTGCTCCCCTTTTCCCTCGCGAGCACTGCCCCAGACGGCTGGAAATCAGCCTACATCATCGCCATGATCGTCACGGGCTTCGTTGTCCTCGCCCTCTTCCTTCTCAACGAGCTCTACCTTGCGCCCAAGCCCTTCCTCAAGTTCGAGTTCTTCTCCGACAGGACCGTCATCGGCGTCTGCGTCCTCGACATCACGTACCAGGTCGCCTACTACTGCTGGAACAGCTACTTCACCTCCTTTTTGCAAGTCGTCAACGATCTCTCCGTCTCCAACGCGGGCTACGTCGGCAACACTTTCGACGTCGTCTCGGGCGTGCTCCTCTTCATCGTCGGCTTCTCCATCTCCAAGACGGGCCGCTTCCGCTGGCTCCTGATGGTCGGCGTGCCGCTGTATACCTTTGGCCAGGGGCTCATGATTTACTTCCGCCAGCCGGGTCAGAGCGTCGGATACCTGGTCATGTGCCAGATCTTCACGTCCATTGGTGGCAGCGTCTTTATCCTGTGCATGCAGGTCGCTATCCTGGCGGCCGTGGACCACCAGCACGTCGCCGCCGCGCTCGCGCTCCTGAGCGTCTGCGGCAACATTGGCGGCTCTGTGGGGAACACCATCTCTGCGGCCATCTGGACCAACACGTTTGAGAAGGCTCTGGAGCGGAACCTTCCCGAGTCTGCGCTGGAGAGTCTGGCGGATATCTATGCGGATCTCGATACGCAGCTGAGCTATCCCGTGGGCAGCGATGAGCGACTCGCTATCCAGAACGCATACGGATATGCTCAGACGCGGATGCTTGCCGCTGGAACTTCGGTGATGGTGTTTGGGTTCATTGCTATTTTCATGATTAAGAATTACAACTTGAAGGAGATGAAGCAGACCAAGGGTCTCGTGTTGTAAGAGCCGGCTGTATCTGGGCTCCGACAGGAAGGCCTGTCAGTCCATGAGCTGTGTATCGCTTGATCGAGAAAACAAATTGGTGAGCATCAGATGGGGCTGAGGAGATAGATATATGAAGCAAATGATGAATGCATAGATTGGAGTTGGCCTAAAACATGGACAACTGTTGCAACCGTGAATCAATCTTCTCAGTAAGGAAGTATAAAATGAGGAGCTATGTTGTGGTTATGCCCCGAAGACTGACATCGATGTGGAAAGGGGCGCAAAAGGGGGTTTGCTTGAAGATGGGTATTGATATTAAAATGGGATTTCATGCACCGGTGTGGACGGCATCGGCAGTGACGTTGCAAGCCGGCGGGAAACAAAACAAAGCTCGAGGTACGTACACGGTACACGGGTACCGGTGGATAACGGGTGGGCTCGGCGATGACGTCGACCAATCACCGCTGACGGCCGGATCAAGCCCGGACCCTTCGGTGCTGCTGCAGCCAGTGAAACGCCAACGGATGGATCCACACATGGCGGAGGCTTTTCCCCACGTCGTTTTTGGGTGGAAAGAAGCTGCACTGCTGCGCTGGTCTTGAGTGCTTTGCCTCTTTGCGGTCTGTCGCTGACCTTTTTTTTCTTTACCGCCGACGCGAGTCCACTTTCTGACCTACCTTACCTCGTCCTGAGAGTCGAGCTATCTGACCCCCATCTCCCCAGAAGCTGTTGGACGTCAAAGATCAGGAACCTTCAACACTCTCCTCTCTCCAGCAGTACTTCTTGGCTTGATAACTGGGTTGAAACCGACAAGATGTCAGCGGACGACCAGCAGTTCTTGGACGTTGTAAGCATCATCCGCCCCCACACCAACACCTCCAAGCTTGTGATCACGAGAGCTCTACTGACACCGCCCTCTTATTCCCACAGCTGTCCTCGCTACCCAACAAGATCCGGGGCTACTCCGACGACCTCGCCAACCTCATCAACCCTACCGTCGATAAGGCTGCACAGGCCGTACGAGAGACGCTCTCCTCCTCAGAATGGCTACCCGACTCGGTGCGGCCGAAGCCCCCCGTCCGCCACATACCTATCGAGGTGATAGCTATGAGCCGGTACGAGAGGCTGCACGGTTGGGTAAAGGAACACAAACTGTTGACCGGTGCCATCGTCGCCGTCGTGGGAGTCGTGGCATATCGATCATACAGGAGTAGCAGGTTCTGCAAGAAGACGCGCCGGGCGAAACGGGCCAGGAACGGCGGCCGTCTCGAGGTTGTCGTTATCGCAGGCTCACCGACACTACCTTTGACAAGGTCGCTATCACTCGATTTCGAGAGGAGAGGATTCATTGTTTACATCGTCTGCAACGCCGAGGAGGATGAGAGCATGGTGCACAGCTTGGCAAGGCCCGACATTCTGCCTTTGACCATTGACACAACGGATGTGAGTAGAGTCGGTATGCAGTTTAAGCCTTCACTGACGTATGTAATAGCCTCCCAGAGCTGGCGCTGCCATCGACAGCTTCGCGCAGTACCTTCAATCACCACACGCCCCGGTACCGCGGACGAGGCCCAACCATCTCCAGCTCAAGTCCGTCATCCTCATCCCATCGCTCAACTACCAAACGTCACCCATCGCCACTATCCCGCCCTCCAGCTTCGCAGACCTCTTCAACACCCACCTGCTCCACCCCATCCTGACCATCCAAGCCTTTCTGCCGCTCTTGACGACTCGCCTAAGCCCGCCCGGAGAAAAATGGACGCCGCCCAAGGTCCTCGTCTTCACGCCGTCCATCATCTCCTCCATCAACCCCCCCTTCCACGCCCCCGAAGCAACCGTCTCCTCCGCCTTATCAGCCTTCACCGAGGTCTTGACGGCAGAGCTGCGACCCCTCGGCATCCCCGTGACCCACATGCAACTGGGCACCTTCGACTTCACCGGCTTCCAGCCCGCAAAGCACACCCACCCTTCCCAGAGAGGTCTCCTCGAAGGCGGGCCCGGCATCGACGCCGACGCCACAGAAACCCTCATGTGGCCCGAGAACGCCCGCCACGCCTACGGACGCAACTTTGTCATGCAGAGCACCTCCGCCATCTCGGCCGGCCGCATCCGCGGTCTGAAGGGCAGCTCCCTCCGCCACCTCCACAACGCAGTCTTTGACGTCATTGACGGGTCCATCACCAGCGGCACCGTCCGCGTCGGTCTCGGCGCCAGCGTCTACGGCTTCGTCGGCCGCTGGGTGCCCCGCGGTCTCGTCTCGTGGATGATGGGCATCCGCCGCGTGGACGAGCTGTCGGCGTGGCAGACGAGCTCCTATGATGGGTCTCTCGACGGTAGTGATAACGACGAGGGCCAGGATTTCGTTGCTGTGCCTGATGAGAAGTTGGATAGCAACGTGTGGAAGTCGTCTTAGAAGGACTTGGTCTTGGCTAGCGTCTCTTGCATCACATCAGGATGTACTTTCACAGAGGGTGTGCAAGCAACCGATGGAATGAACCCTAGGCAAGATGCTTAACTAGGCAAAGGGGCCAACGGCCTTAGCTGGCTGATAATAGCCGACGACTCGGGCTACCGAGAGACGCGCTTAGGCGACAGGATTATGAGCAATCTATTTAGCCTGCGTCAGCGAGCGAAACCGAGACTTAGCTCACAAAAGGCTTATGATTGACGAACTCCACTCGTATCCAAAGGGAAAGACATCCGTATCACTACTCGTTGGATTCAGCGTACATAATCATGATAGTAATTCAACGTCGTATCGTGGTTGGGCCTGCGGCTCGCTACATCCCTTCTCTCAAATTTCTCTTCAAGTCTCAGCCCCTCTGTAATTATTTTCTGTGTCGACTGTGCCAGAAGGAAATCCGACCTTTGACAGTTCGTTTCATCATGGCTGGTTTCTATTAACCACGTTCCTTTTAGTTACTCATGAACGGACCGATGATGAGCTTATCCATCTTTTGGAGGCGCCATTCCTCCCAGTAGGCGTTCTTTCGTACTTCTTGTAAAGACACGGTAGGCTGGTCTTAGGGAAGGGTAGTCTAGGAAGCGGGCCCTTTCAAACCCCTTCTCTTGGTATCTGTTATAATTTTCTCATGACTTGCCTATGCACAGCGTTTGGGTAAGGGGGATGGAAAGCTTTGATAAAAAAACGTGCCGTTTATTATGCTTTTTGTCACCGCCCATATTTGCTAACATTGATCATGATGATAGGCATACAGGACAGATAATGAGAGAGGCATTTGTATATTAAGATAATAGAGGTGGATTGCTTGAAGGGACCATAAAAACTCTTCAAGCTTTGTGTCCCCATTTGTCACGCTTCGTAACCCCATTCGTTCCGCTTCACGTCCCCGTTCGTCATGCTTGATATCCTTACATCACACTTTGTGTCCCCAGTTGTCACGCTTTTTATTCCTATTTATTATGCGTTTTATTCTCGTTCATCACACTTGATCTCCCTATTCATCATGCTTTGTATCCCCGCTCGTATTCAATGACGATTGCTGAAATGACGAACGCGCCTGAGAGATGACGGTCGTTATATTGAGATAAAGAGATGGTTATTGCTGGAATCGCCTACGGGAATAGCGGCATGAAGATGGAAAATTCTCACTATCGGCCAGACAGGTCATGGAATCACAAGGCTTTACCAAAGGAGTTGATGGCCTTAATCATCGGTTTGCCTTGGGAATTCTTTTGAATGTTTGCGTGAGGTTGGGCGGTATTTATATCAGTCCAGGTAGGTCTAGTAGATTCGGGACCATCGGGAGAAGGGCTAAGGGCTGACAGCATTGTGCGAGCCATCGGGAAACGGTCTGGTATAGTCCACAGTCGTACTCAACTACCTCGTGATCATGAGAGACGAGACACAAGCAATCAGACAAAGATTTCTCATCACCAGACGACGCGCCCGACATGACGCCACCTCAATTGAATTCCTATTGAGGAGTTCGAGAAGAGGGGGTTCGTCAGAGTGAGAGATCATTATCATCAAGACCGTCTCATCAAGGCCGTCCACTAAACTCGAAATTAGAAGGATCATGTCCTCTGGACCATTTCCCGCCCGCTCGCTCGTATTCGTCAATGATATTTGCACGATGAACGTACGTCACGGAGAACAATGGGCGTTAACATATTATGGACCTTGAATCGTTTATCAAAACAAAGAGCTGTTTGCTCGACGGGACTTCCTAGCTTTTAAACCCTTTTGCAAGAACATGCTGAGGGGTTGAGGGAGTCGATAGCATTAATCACCTTGGGGAATGTTCAAAACGGCTGCGTGAGGCTAGGCGTTTTTATACTACGTAGTGTCATGTACTTTCAAGACGAACCAGAGACAGGGAGATAAGCGAACTTATGCTTTGGAGGGCTAAGAAATGAAGGCATAAGGTAGAAGAGACTAGAATGGCTCGTTGTCCGCCCGTTGCCTGCCACATGGTGGCAAGATTACAGGGCCGGGTGTTCATGTTCTTCACAACCTAAAGGCAGCCATGTTCCTTAGCATCGCATGCCTGCCTACTCATATTCGTTGACAATGTTTGCACGATGAACGTACGTGACAGAGAACGGAGGCCGTTTGTTGGGTAATGGACCTAAGCTGACATGGTAAGACAAGGAGACGTTTGTTCGCTGGGTGAACCCCAGAGCCCAAGGGCTTCTTCCAGGTGCCGAGGGAGTCGATGGCATTAATCACCGTTGCCTTGAGAGGTATTTGAAGCGGCTGCGCGAGGTTGAGGAGGATTTATATGAGGTGGGTGGGTGGATTGAGGGCCATTGACAGGGGGGGGGGGTAAGGAACGGATGAGATGGGTTGTGATGATGACGAGAGTGGGATATATCAGGGGAACCAATGTCACGACGAAGAGGACCTCACAGTGGCTGTGGCAGTTGGGATCATTCTGTTCAACCATCTATCCGACTCGGATTGCTTATCCGTTGATCCTTAATCACATCACCGCTGGCCGTCAGCACTATCGTCCCTCTTCCCAAACCTGGCGCCGAAACCTCCAATGTCCCTCCGGAAGAATTTGCCAAAGTTCTTGAGATTCTCATTCATGGTCGCCTTCTCCGTACCCGCGATGCCGCCCGGACCGGTTCCCTGCCCCAGGTCCCTCGCCGCGCTCAGAAGCTTCTCACCCAACGAGGTCGCGTCAAACTTGCTCGGCAACCCCGGCATGGCGCTGCTGGCGCTCGTGAGAGCGGTACTCGCGTTGATGGCCCCAAGACCGGAACTGCCGAGTCCTGTGGTTGCCATCAACGGCGTGAGCAGCGGAGATTGCTGGACGAGCTTGTCGCTGAGGTTGCCCTCGCGGTGGATGCCGAATAGTTCCACAAGGTGGCCCTGATCGGCTTTGCGGACGCCCTTGAGGTCGAGAATCTTTCTAAAGTTGGTATCGGAGCGATCGGCAATGTGGATCAAGTATGCTTGGACCAAGCCCTCTGGTGGCGAAGGGCGGACTTGCAGCGTCTTGAGGAGAGGGTCTATGCGGTTCATTGTCTGGTTCACTCGTTTTACGTAGCCCGCTGGAGCCGCGTGCGGTGTTGAAGAAGACTTGTTGTGATATGACAGCAGATTTTCGAATGCTTTTGTCAAAACGTACTTGTCGAGCAACATCTAAATGGGGGTCAGTATGTTTGTGAGGACTCGTGTGTGGTTGGAGCATACCTGTTCAGCGCCGACCTCGGAAACTGGGCGACATTGTACAATGTTGCTAATGTAGGCGTTGACGAGATGGTCCACCAGATTATCGCAAAATGCCCTGGCGTATTGCTGCTTGACTAAAAGGCCTAGGATCTCCTCGGCTTTGCCGTTCACGGAAGATAGAAGCTCACCAACATATGAGCTTTGATCGCCCACAGTCTCCATGGTGCTCCAGCCTGTATTACGCATCTCACGCCAAGATCCCTCGCAGGCGATCTCAACGTTACGTACTAACGTCAGCACAGCAGCGCTGGCCACGCCAAGAAAGGCGTCGGCTTGTGATGATAGGTCAACTTTTCCAACAAGGTCATTGTCGATGCGCTTTTTGATGTTTTCCTCCAACTGGGTAGTATTCGTCGACCAGAAATCTGCCGTGTTCAACACCAAAATGACGTCTTGAATTGGCGGACCTTGAGGTCCAGCCCTTTGCAAAATGTGCAGAAGAACTTGTTGTGCGTATTCGTCGAGGTACTTTGCCAGCGTTTTGGAAAGGTCCAATAATCTGTCACTCGTAGACAATTTGGCGCATTGTGATAATGTGAGTTTGTAGAAGTGGAACAGTTCAATGGCTGAGGAAATGACGGCTTGCGTAGAAAATTCTTCGTCTTCCGGAAGCAGAGGCTGATTTCGGTATTTTGGTATCATTGTAGCAAGCTGCTTGTCTTGCGACTCCACCCACAAGCTCAAATACGGTTCGAAAGCAGTTGATATCGAACCATGGAAATTCGATGCTCTGTCATCGGATGAGCTCAGGGTATCGATACTGGCGCGCGGTTCGTTGGCAAACCGCCTCTCTAGGCCATGCTCAAAGTCCAAAGTCTCCTGTAAGCAGCTCAGAAGAAGGTTTACGTCAATCTTCTGCCCATCCGTCTTGCGCATGCTTCTTTCGAGGATGCCCTTGAAGTCGTCTCGAGTGCCGTCACAGAAAGCCATGGCCAGTAATTCGTTCGCGCGCCAATGGGCCGGGAAAATAACAGCGTGCTCATCCTCATGAGTCTTGAGCATGCGTTTAAACCATGCATACCTGCGACCGATATTATCCAGGTTCCCGGCCTCGTCGTTGCCCCTGAACACCTGGCGGTACTCGCGTAGTTCCGTATTGACGTACCAATTCATCAGTCGCGTCCGAGCCATGTCGCCCAAGGCATCCATGACCAGACAAGCCTCTACCAGTGTACCCCTGCGCTGTGCGACCTCTCCCTTGGCAAACGCAATCTCGAAATCTTCGCAGACCTGCTCCAACAATTCCCGCTGCAGCTCCGAAACGCCTCGGCTCAGTGTGGCGATCTGTTCAATGCTCCGGTAGCTGTTGAAGTGCTTCATAAGCTGCAGCACAGCTTGCAGCAGGCTCGCGCAGTCTCGGTATTGCCTCGACCTGGCCAAACCTCTCAGCTGTTCGTATGCCGTCGTCAACATTTGCAGTCGTTTCAGCGCGGTCATGCTCAATGTGAGGTTCCGTTTCGTGCCATCCAATCGTTTTATATCGGCCGTCATGGAAGTGATGTTCTGCTCGGTTTGGATTGCTCGGGATCGCACGGTCTCGATCTTGCGGAAGAGCTGGGCGAGTTCGGCTTGGGCAGACTGCATGCGCTCGAGGCTCGAATCGGGACCGTATGCCTGGGCGACCTCAAGGCTGGAGATTTCGACGGCGAGATCATTTTTATGGGTCTGTAGTGTATCGGAAACGCGACTGATTGAGGTTACGGTTGAGGGATGTGGAAAGAGGTGGTTTAGATGCTCGATAGGATCATAGTCGGCTGCCTCAGGGTCAGATATGAGCTGCGCCTAGCGAGAGCGGGAGTGGAATTCGTACCAGCATCGAGTGATGTTTTCCCGCTAATTGATGTCCCGTTCATGCTGAACACCCGTGTTGACTTGGTCTGCGTGAGAAGATGGTGATCTGGCGGGATTGGACGGGACAGTTTGCTGCATGTGTCAGATTCCCTGAAGAGTTGAGCTGCGTGTCTTGGGAGCTCCGAGTCGAAATGGCGTCACGTGTTAGGACAGGACGCAGGGGGATCTGCGACGGGACCTACCGCGTCCAATCGGAATACGCTCCGAGAAGCTCCTCAGGTTCTGGAAGCAGGTGGCAGGCGCCAGACGCTGTGCAGTCCCTTTTTTTCTGGATCGGCCCACCTCGAGAAAGTCTGGGGAAAGAAAGGTCGAATTTTGTTCCCTTCTTCAAACAAACCTAAAGACGACGTTCAGATGCGGAAAGGACCAAGGTCGGGTAGACACGGATCGCTCCTACCTACCTTACCCCTTGCATGATGCCTGCCTTACTTTACCTAAGGTACCTACCTACCTATGTAGTAGTACCTGACTGTGTAATCATGTTGGGATAACATTGGCCATTGGCGCGTGCAATACGTACTGGCCGCAGCAACTTCTCTTCTTCACTTCTGCAACAAGCACACTTCCTCTTACAATCTTTGACCCACGAGGTTTCTCCGTCGTGCTTCTCGTGCACCGGTTCTTTGGCGATGAGCATGCATTACTTGCTATCCTGGACAGATGAGAACGAAGTACTACGCACTCAGTCTATGTCTCCTTCTCGCCACCTCCACGCCGTTTCAATGAAGATATGCCCTGGTCTGCACACAGTCAAAACAAACGACCACAGAATATTTATCCACAACAAACTCGGCGTGCGACGAATTTCTGTGCCACCAAACCAGCGGCCCAACCTTCAGGAACACGCCACATTGACGAATTGGTATGTTTCTAGGGCTTTCCGTAATACGGTATCTCGTCAGACGGTAATTCGAACTACCTCCAAGCGGGCCATTGCGTTGGCTTAACCTAGGAGGCAGTCGAACAGCTTTCTTCAGAGTGCGTCAAGCTCATCTTAACTAAAGCGAGACTCATCCGCACTGTTTCGCTGCCACGTCGAAGAAATTGATCATGGGCTTATCGTCATTCCTGTCCAACCCTTACGGGTAAGGTTCGACAGAGGGAACAGATACTATAATCGCTGACGACTCCGAAGCCAAATGAGCCAATATGGCAAACTTCTCGAATACATCCTGCAATCCATGTCGAATCCATTGCATGTACCTCCATGTCATCGCGACAAAGGGCATTTGGAACTCTATCGACCGAAATCCGCATTGCTGGAAGCAACGCCACAACCTATAGACTGGGGTGCGCCATGTCTTCCAGCTCATGTCATGGTGGGGGGTCCTGGGAGATGAGGTGCTACTCTGCCAACACATTGGAGCTCTCCAGCCACTTGCAAAGGCTCGTGTCGCATCAATTCTCTACTCGCATGAGTAGCCAACAGGGAAGACAATAAATCACAACACCCCTTCCTTGCCACACAAATCGGTTGGAGACCACAGCCAGCAGATAACGCGGCTCACCATTTGCCGTATTGCCTGGTGCTTGGATATCCCGACTCAAGCCACGGACCTCCAAACAACGGACCAACGCATGTTCCGATAGTCGAAGTTTCTGCCCACCATTTCAGGGATGTCTCGATCTGATAACTGACCAACCATGGCGGCTAACATCAGACGACGGATGACAGTCGGACACCACCACCTATTCAACGTCAACTTTGTCGCCTGGCTAGAGTCGTCAGCCAGGAAGGATGCTTGGGGACACTCGCTCATGCGGCCGCTTATGGCACCAGTCTAGAACGACTGGTGACGAACACATTTGTCTGACTTGTCAGAACTCTGTCAGGGCGAGGCGTTCACATGCACTCGTTTCATTTCGACACCATCTCGGTCTTTGCGGCAAGCGTGTCTCTCGAGACCGAGCAGCCCAGCCTCCCGATATCCTCGAGAAGGGCCCCCACGCCCGGTTCTGCTCGGCACAACCCAACATCCCCGCCGCCCCCCGTGACCCCCGATATTTCCGATCCGACCCTCCTGGCGTCGTCACTCCGGAGGCGAACGGGAGCCTAGAAACAAATTACACAGCAGTCAGCACAAAGTACCTCGGTTACGAGGCATTTCACTGCACTTTCAGGCTTGCTTGCAAGCCGGCGCAAACATGGAAACAGGCACTAGTTACCTTTGTTGCAGGCATCTAGCTCCTCACATCTGACAATGGACTTGTTGCTCCAACAGGTTCCATTGTGCCGCAAGTCAGCATTTCCCCTGTCCTATATCGCCCCATTATTGTCACCTGCCATATCACCTGCCACGTCCCCGTCACGCATACGTCGTTTTAAGCATTCCGGGTTGGTCTTCCCGAGGAAATTCTTCAGCAAAAAGCACATCATCCCGTCAAGGCTCGACCCCGATAACCGAGTCATGTAAATCTGGGCAAATCCGCCCCTCCTCGCCCCCCCTCCCATTCTTTCTTGGGCCTCTCATACCCTCGTAACCCCGAGAAGCACCGTAGATCCTGTGGTCTCCCCCCTCCTCTCATCTCTCATCCCCGCCATCCCGCAATCGGCCGGGGCGGCCAACGCCCGACGTCCAAAGATGCCCACTCAACCACTTTCTACAACACACCGCACTTTGCCTGCCGGGCGGTCATGACGGACGCGGACGCTCTCCACTTCTACCTCGATACTACCAAACCAAAAAAGCGCGCCGTTCATTCTCCAACACGGCGCCGTCGCATCTCGGGAAGAAAAAAGAAACCAGAGATTCTGCACCGCTGCCAGACCAAGGCGGCCCGCCCTTCTCCCACGTGGAAAAAAGCAAAACACAATCAAGGCCATCTAACTTAACCCGCCTTCTCTCGAGTCAGTGCGCCGCATCGGCTTCCCGCTCTCGTGCTAGGCGGGCATGCTGGGTGCCTTCCATACCCTTGATGAATTCGAGGCGTTGCTTTCGTCGAGGCTAGTGAGGAGCCAGGCAGCCTCACGCAGAAGAAGAGCGTCAGGAGCTGAAGGAAGCCACCCTGGGCAGTACGGGTTGATGAGCCTGAAAAGCACGACGGACAGAAACGAGGCGTCCCTTGATCAAGTTTTCCGGGCGGAGGCGCGCGTCAGAGCCCGAGTGCTATATCGGGCCTCAAACATACCGTCGTCGTCACGGCTCCTCAATCCCCCTGGACCTAAGACGACGCCATCGACAAACTAGCACGTAAGACGATTGCGCCTGGGACCGGCCCAAAAGGCTAGAAAGACCTCTGAAGATGGTAGCCGTGACTAAGAGCAGAAACCGAGCCACGAACAAGTTTTCCCACGAGGCACACTAATTAGCACACACCGACACCACAAGTGCCCCAGCGTCCCGACTACTCCGTCGCCGATACACCACACCACAACTCTGGACATGAAGCATGATCCAGACCGCAAAACACACCGCAACATTGATTCTCGTCGAGGAATCTCACCTCATCTCACCTCATCCCTTCACCGACACCCATGTTATTCGAGACCATGAATTCACTAGGCGAGAGTCCATCGTCATCGACCGTGGACTGTCTGGTTCAGCACGACCCCGTACCTGTTCCCGTGATGTGAACCCACGTGTGCAGCACACCCACTTTCTGCCGTCATCTCTGCTACCCCCCCTTCGTTTCCAAGAATTCCATCCGGAGCCTGCTGTGCACTCAAAATCCGAACCTGAAAGTGAACCATGCCCCCTGTCAAGCCATTACACACCATCCCGATGCAGCAGCCCGCAGTCTTTGTATCACCCACCATGGTGTGTCTCTGGTCAGATTTCAACTGTTGCGTTGGAACAGCATTGGGATAAGTCACTTTTGAGAAAAAATACTGATGGAACTTTCTCTTCTAGTGTGTTGTAACCCAACCCCTGGTTGTGACTTTGGCGGCGACTACATATGGTAAGGTACAACGCATACCTACTTGGTCGACGTCCTCAATCGGGCAAATAGAATAAGCACACCATCCTTACGGGCAAAATAGGACAGAAGTACGACAACAAGACGAAAACTTGGAAAAGAAAACCCCCAAATAGCAACCAATCTTATCAATCTCTTGTATTTCCGATCGACAGAGCAGCCTGGCTTGCATTCTCCCATTGGGTACCACTCGACGCCCACACCCCTCTTCTCCCCCGAAATCCAACCTCTCACATTTAACCCCATTTGGGTGATCCCGAATGGGAATTGCAGATTCATCACCGCGAAAGACACGCATGCGCACGCATTTAACATCCCAACACATCCTACAGCACAGCAGGGCTCTCTTGACACCCCGTCGAATGAAGAAGTGTTGATGCGCGCCTCATATGCAGGACCATGACTCTCTCCCACATATTTGTCCTGAATGTGCAGGAAAAATACGATTGATCTAATTCCCATCCAAATTCATGTCGAACCAACACAGCTGAATCAATTAGAAAAGAAACTCAGCCATCTGTGACAGCAAGTCAAGCTAGGCCAACAAACAGGCCTGGGTGTGGGTGTGTGTATGTGATCACAACACGACAAAAAGCCACATGAAGTCGGGAGCAAGAAATACCGAAGAATTACCAGCTCAGACACACCACCCACTTTTTTACTTGGTTCACATTCACCTTTCGGTATCACAATATCTGACTGACCTTTCTGTACTTCCATTGGATTGGATGTTACGTGGAATGAATACGAAAGATACCAAAAGAGTAAAAACCCCCTAACAAATAGACCTACTAACTACCTTAGTTAGCAACACACTGCATCTCAAAAAAGGGAAGTGAGCGAGCGTTCTTACAACGCCCGTAAACAACAAGAGGTCGCAGAAACGGGCACGACGAACGGGCTGACAATGATGGAATCACATTCCGAATCGGTCGACCTGCATGGTTCTCCATCCCACCACCACAACCCTCCATTGGATATACCTGCACGGTAGTCCCCCCACCCTAACGTACATCGCATGCCGTAGCACCCAGCTTGCCAGCGTCCTCCAATTCCATTACCTTACAGCGAAATCCACGCTTAAACTCCAGAATAGCAATGGCTCTCACACTCTGTCAACCGTCACGGTCACACACACACACACACACACACACACACACACACATCCCGTACAATATCCCGGTTGTTGATCGACAAACAAGAAACCCTGGATTGGCCCTTGCACTCTCCCCCCCCTCCCTTCCCTCCCACCTCACCCGGTACGGTAACGGTACGCAGTATGCCTGCGGTCGCGCAGACCCCCAGCCCAGACACGGCTTACCGAATCGCTTCCGTCTCCCGTATCTCGGAGTGGGCTCCGATCCAGCGGGCTTTCCCTACCCCGGCTGTTTCCCTTTTGCGAAGTCTGCCCTGCTGCCCTGCTGCCGCCCCCCTTCACCTCCATCCATGATCCAACCCCCTCCAAGTGGTACCGGTATGGGTATCGTATCCCTTGTTGCCCTTCCATTTTCCCACTTGGAGGCATCGCAACAGTATGTACTGCGGACGTACAGTAAGAATATCATTGCCCCGCGCCGATCTGCGTGGGTTGCCTCACTCGCACACCCACGCAAAAATGGTTGCCCGCAGAAGAAAATGATTACCCACACACCCACCTCACATCAAGACCCTCCACACCACTCCTTCTTGACCCATCCGAGGGGGACTTCCCCTCGGTGCCCTTGTGCCCCTCAAAGACCCCTCCATGAGAGAGGACCGCCCACTGCTACAAGCCTACAATGCCGTGCGTGGGTGCAATACTGCAGCACTGCAACCCACAACCCACCACACACAAAAAATCTCACGATGGTTACAGGAGGGGCAGAAATTCTGAACCAAAAAAAGGTCTCTGTGTGCTCCATTGAATTTGCTCCAGGCCTCCGGCTTTCTCGTCCTAAGAGCCCGTGAGAGACTGAGAGACCAGAGTCGCCCACGCGAGTCAACGGCGTCCCACGCGCCCAGACGCCTACCAAGAAATACAAATTGGTTTCCCATCCACCAGATATTTCCGCCCAATGCCACACCCTCCTCATCTCGCTCTCTTCTATAATATGAGTCATGATGCAAAACCGTCGTGAGGGTAGAGAAATCGTGAGAAGCCATATGATGCCATGCAAAGTCAGCTACACCGCCACCCCTGGTCCACGCGTGGGATATCATCAGCCGCCCCAAATTTTTAAGTGTCCTTTCCCCGCCCCCAAAAATCCAGTCATGCCGCCGCCGCCTGGTGATGCGTCGATCAAAAAGATCCAAGGGGGAATCATTCGTAAAAACTGAGCAAATGTCGAAAATCGAGTAAGAAACAAGACCGTGATGCAGGTCGCCGAATTGAAAGGGAAAAAAAAGAACGCCATGTCGCCCCCCTTGTCAGATGCTGTCGATCCCCTTACTCCGCGCAAATGCAATTATCGTCTGTCTGTCACTGCCTTCCGGCCCGTGAGGCCGAGGTTTGCCGACACGTGTCGGCGGACTGTTGCTGAATGTCTTGGACGCACTCTAGGTGATCCATTCTGAGGAAAATTAGCCCATCAGGAACTATGCAGAGCTCTGAATCCGGTGGCTATGAGACTCCGTGAGCTCTCCTTTGCGTCTGCTGGTCCGCTCCAGTAGAATAGTCCCTATCAACTCGTTAGCACATGTATCATTGCATGGTATGATTGGGGCAAAACATACTCCTAGGCTCTTCTGTTTGCAAAATGCAGCCTTCATCTTCACCGTATCGGGGTTATCATAAGTGACGAAGCCGCCATCTGCTCCGACGCATTGGGCCCCGATAGACTTCTTGTCAATGACTTCCTTCGTCCCCCGACGGGGAAGTTGGTTGTACTCGAATGTCCCATTGCTCCCGCCACTTCCCTTGAACTTCTGTCCCGGCCCAGTGGCATGAAGAAAGCTGCGACCGTAGAGGGGAATGCCGAGGAGGATCTTTTGCGAGGGAAAGCCTTGCGAGACCAGATACTGCACGGTTGATGCGCCCGAGGTTTCGTCCTTGCTCATTGCATACAATTGCGCGTGATGGCCGCTTCTGTGTGTCCACGTGCCGGCGAAGTCGTACGCCATGAGGTTGAGGTAGTCGACGTAGTCGGCCGTTCGTTGCAGATCGATGTATTGCAAGATCGCTCGGCTGGCAGGTAACGCAGCAGTAAGGAGATAATGACTTTCGGGCATATGAAGGCGAACAGCCGCCAACAGAGCCAGGAAATGGTGGCCCTGCTGAGAATCACAAGGATACTCCCACATAACTGATCGACGATGTGAGCTAACGAAACACTAATGCAGAGGCAGGAAGAATCGAGCAAACTCACTATCAATGCCATCCAAGCCCGACGCGTCGACCAGGCCTCTCGCAGACCGGGCAAAGTTGTCTCTGTAGAGTGTGTTCGCAGCTATCACGGGGAACACGGCACTGGAATTGCCGCCCCCGATGGATAGAATCACTTGCAAATGGGGATGCTTCTGCTTGAGGTGCATGAGAGACCCTAGGCCACCCTGGACGCCATCGACTGGTGCGCGAGCATCGGCCCACTCGTCGCTCAGCTTATCGAAGGGTTAGTTAGTCAACTCATACGAACAGCGGAACTGGGTATACTCACGAAAACACCTCCATCAGGCGAGATATTGGCAAAGGCGTAATACACATGGTTGATGCAGCCATAGTTCATGGCGCCCGGCGTGTCGCCTTGGTATATCCGTTCGTTGGGGAAGTAGACCGCGTTGGTGTACATGACATTGGAGATGCTAGTTGTTCTGCGCGACTTGCGCGAAGACGATGAAGAACTCATCTTGACTCTGGTTGCCATAAGACTGTTCAAGAAAGAGAGGCAGGGTTCGAAAAGTCGGAAAGAAAAGCAACTCTGGCAGTCAATGTGACAAGGGAACGGTAGTAAGGACAGTATATGAAGAAAAGGACTTGAACCCAAAGCTGCATGTTTGAGCAATGAGCTGTTCGGTCAGGCAGCAAGCGCGAACCTCTGTGGCTCCAAACAGCATGGAGAAGTGTCTATATATCTAGCTAGACACCGCAGCACGGGAGTGACAAGCCAAATGCGACGGTGAGCGAACGCGGGACGGGCAAGGTAGTATAAGGCCTTGTTCGAGGCGGTGGAGACCAAGGGACGGGTATCAAAATTACAAGAGGGTCCAGGATACTTTGAAGCCATGATGCATGACATAATTGGGTTGGGGGTGAAGGATGGATCATGGGGGGGTGCGAAGGGAGTGAGTACTTGGATGCATTTGCGCTTGCAGGGGGATGGATGGTGTTGAGACTTTTTGTCAAGTCATATATGAGAGATCTGGACGAGTGAGAGAAACGTCCATGTACCAGAGACGAAGAGGCGGAGAAGGATGAGGAGATGGCTGCCAAAGCCAAATTGCAAGGCATCGTAATAGTAGGGCGGCCATGCCCGGCCACTGGCGCCGTTGTTTTGATTAGTTCGCTCGCTCGTCGGCGTCCTGACTCTCTCTTCTCTATGTCTGTGAGTTAGCACCAGCGCGAGTCTGTTCCCTCAGTTCAAAGCCGGCCTTCGGCCACGACCACCGACCCTTGGCGGCAGTTGACGATCAGGGTTGCAACGAACAGGAATGATCCCTGCACATCGCACCGCTACTTTGGTCCTTCTTCCTCTTCCTCCTCGTTTTTGTTCGTCCACTTCTTCTGCGTCTTCCAGCTGGATTCTCCACGCTCGCCCGGCCTTGCATGCGGGTCTTAGCTGTGATGTACCTAGGTCCTAGGGAACCAGGCCAGCGCCCCAAAAGTTCTCGACGCCCATGTCCGTGCCTTGTTGTGTTATTGTTCAGGCGCGAGCAGAGTAGTGAACAGCCGCATTCCTGCCGTGGTTACTCTCGGTCGCCAATGCGAACATCGCCGTTGTGCCCACGGCAGGGCGGCAGGGCAATAGCGGGGGAGAGCTTTGGTCTAGCGAGCTGCAATGATGGGCTCAGCAGTTGTGGTGCCTGTTTCTCTGACAATCAGACGTCGGGCTGGTCGGCAAACTAGGTACGCTCTAGGAGGATCTTGAGTGCTCCACGGCCGGCCATCCAGCCTCGTTGCGTAGGAAGTTCGTTCGGCTCTTGCACACGGACGTTGATATTGCCATAAGCGGATCAGGTTGCCGAACCACGGAAAGAAGCGATGTGAATGAACACTTGCAGCAAGACTAATTTCGGCATGAAACTGGCAGAAGACTTGGAACCAGATTCGAGACATGCTTGTTATTTCCGACTAGCTCTGGAAAGCGCCACCGTCAGCCACGAAGCGACATTGGAACCCGATGGTCATTCCTCGGTCATTTGATATTTCTGGTAACCTGGGGGAGATTGTCGCTTAAAGGCGAGAAGCCTTCGAAGCCAGGATGCCGAGGCTGGGGAAAATACCCCAGTCCCTGGATGTGGCTTCGAGCTGTAGAACTGATCGAATCCATGGTTAGGAGTACCGTATTAGTTGTAGGCAACTAAGCAGGGAAACCGGCCTGGAAAAAAGAAAGCATGGCTGGAGAATCCACGAGGCGTTGCCAGGCTAAGACGACGAGACGTGCGGCAAGACAGCGAGGCGGTATTTCTGCTGTGGTGTACCAAAACTCTAAAACAACCTGCTTCCCTGCGATGGGCCGAGTAGCATGCTGTGCCACGCTCCCACCGACGTTTCCGAGGAGTGTATCCCGCACTCGCTCCCGATCTCCCAGGGTCAGTTGCTGCCCGTGGCCGGATGAGCGAGGGCCGAATTCGCTATGGACTGAATTGAGCCATTACAGACAGTGGTCATCACACTGACGTGCAAAGAGTGGATCGACTGGCGAATCGCTATGCACTGAAACCTTCGGGCGGCACGGCGGTGTCTGTTGTTTTTGAAGTGGGTAGATCCCAGCTCCTGCGCCGGTAGGCCGGGGGCTGGTCAGTGAATCACACACGGACACGCAAGGAGAATCAAATTCAGGCGGTGAAGTCGAGCGTCGAGCAAGCCGGGCTGGGCAGAGGGAGCGTCTGCGTCGAGGTTTGAGCATAAGTGACAAACTGGAATTGTGTCTCTCAGGACGGCCGTCTCTGTGTGCGATTTGACCAGTAGCATAGTTGCGAGAGTTGATGGGCAGGGGAGGGGTCGTCGAGGGGGACATGTAGCAGCAGCTTGGCTGCGTGATGTGCCCCACCAAACGATGGAAACAGCCGACAGAGTTGATGGGTTGAGGTGGAGGATGGGTGCAGAAGGACTGCATGCCACGCTGGCAGCACATGACGGAACATTGGAAGCGGCCCTGACTGTTGGGAAATCCGACGATTTGGATAAATGAGGTCATTGCATGAGGGATGGCCGAGTTGGGTATCGATGAATAGGTGACAGTTGCATGGTGTGACTGATATGCGAGGGCGGATTGTTGTCTTGTTTGCCCATTGTTGGTGCCATTCGGGGCCAATGGCAAGTCGACGACGAAGCGGACATGGAAGTGCTGTCTTTGATGTGCGTCCGGCGCACTGGTCGTGTCTTGTCGAGTTGCGTCGCCGGGCAAGTCGTATGGGCCCACGAAAGACACAGTGCTATAAGAGGACGTCTGTATTGTGTGTGCCCATACTGTCTCTGGCATGCAGATCAAGAGTGAAATAGAGGTCTCAAACGTTGATCCGTGATGTGGTTCCGTGACCCTACCGTAGGCATTCCATGTGCCCATGCAGCACCCTGTCTTTGGTGTCTGTACGTACGAAGATATGCGGGCAGGGCTCCATATGTAAGTCAGTCGCAGTAGTCGGCTCCAGCCATTGGATGCCATGAGGGCACAAGTCGATGGATCCCGGGCAAACTCTAGTCAGGGCCTGAAGAAGGCATCGTATTGTGCGTTCTGTCTCCTCCGTATCGGAGCGAAGCATGTCAGAGACTCGAGGTTGAGAAGACGCCAAGACGATTCTGGCCTGGTTTAGACGATTGCAAGGCGCACGCCTCTAAACTTGGCGGTATGGCAGATGAAAACATGGCAGAAGCGCGCTATAACAACTGGTGCCTGTGAGTGGAAATGAGGGGGTAAGGCGACGGGAGAATTGCTCTGAAGAGTGACTAGGTAAGCTATTGATTGGAATCGCCTTTGAAAGGAGGCAGAAGAGACGGGAGCGTGGCCGAAGGAAGCAAGAGAAGAGAGCGACAAAAACGATGTCGTTGGATTTGTGGCTTTGTTGGAGCAAACATTTCATCGGCCAAAGGGCAAAGGGGGCGGGGTCAGGATTTGCTCCCACCTCATTCCATGTCCCAAATGCCAGAACCTGGAGGCACAGTATTCCGTAGGTAAGTACGGAGTACTGTGGAAGGAGACCAAGGGTCCGGTTTGTCTCCGCCTGCCTGTAAGGTGTGACTTTCCACACCTGCAGCTGCAGGAAGGAGGAGGTTGGAGTTTGGATTTCGGAGGAAAGAAAGTTGGGAAGGTGTAAGTACCGCAGGCTGGGTCCATCTCTGTCTCGAGTTCTCAGACAGGTGGGCAGGTGGGCAGGACCGGCAGGTACCTGCCTCGCCTCGCCTTCCTCAACTTACCTTAGTTACCTAATGAAGATACTTGTATACTGAAGCAAGTCAAGCGATTGGGTAAAAGATGGAAAGAAACTCGATACACCTCACTGAAGGTACTTTACCTTTTGGATACAATGAGGAACCATCGGCAAGCAGAGTCCCTCCTCCATCTGGGACAGACTGGGACAGAGGAGCCGGCGATGGAGTCGAATGCAAGAGAAGAAAGAAAAGAAGAAGAAGAGAAAAAGGAAGGCGCATGTCATTATGCACGGGTCAACGTCCTGGAGCTAAGCCGTCCGTGATGGATCGATTTTGAACCCCGGCCTGGGAACATTTGGGGCTTTGGAGGAAAGGACGGCCGAAGAAGGTGGGTCCTCCCTACTTGACTAAATTGGAAGTGTTCCAAAGGTTGTTCGTTCCTTCCATCCCACTTCAAACTCTTTTCCTTCATCAGCATTTGGCAGGTCCTCACCAGGTTCCGATCTTTCCATGCCTAGATCCCACCATTAAAACGGTCCATCCTTAGGTATCAATCCTACTGCCGTTTGCTGCCGTTTACCTCACTCAGCATCCGTTCCTTACCGTTGCTTTGCCGGCCGCTTCCATTCAAGCAGGAGAAAACCTAATTCCTAAGGTTGCACCCATCTCATTGCGTGATCCCGCCGGGCCGGCTGCTGAAGAACAGGAGGGGTAATTTCAACGTGAACGACAGCAATGCCGCCTCCCAATCGCATTATCCTCTGGCTCTGGCATGTCCTCGGGTAATGGCATATTTATTGTATTCTGGCCCTCCATTGCCTGCAGCCGATTAGATCTTGGCGATCGTTGTTGTCTCCTTGTCCTAGAACAATCGATGTCTTTCTGCTGAGCCACTGCACAACTCTCCGTCGCCAACACTGTCTCCGTAATGAGAACATGGCCAGTCAGAAGTGGGTATTATGTTCCCTGCGGACCGCTTCACACATTTCCACGCTATCAAAATGCTGCTGATCGAAAGAGTTGGAACCTATGAAACCGTCGCCTTGCACACACTTTGTTCGCAAGGGAAGTTAGTATGCTGCTCTTCTCCAGCGCTGGAAGCTGCACCTCGCCGGATCGCCGCGAGCCCAACTCCATCTTATTCCTGGGCATGTAGCCCAGATGGATATCGGTTCGGGCCAACAGGCCTGTCAACTTGGGACAAACATTGAACTGTGCCGCTTTTCGAAGCGGAGCAAAGACCCCCTGCTATCGACTTGTTCCCCCTTCCAATCTGTGCTCTCAATTGGTCTCGAGGACCTCGGCCAGCAACCAATT